GCAGGCGTTAGAGTTGAACCCTTTGTGTCTCTCTGGCAAGATGTTCTGCTCCTGAATCAGCTGGGTGGGTCTTGCCTCTAGCCTCTTTGCAGGGAGATCTGCTGAAGGGTTCCATGCTGGGCCTGCAGCCTGGGTCGAATGAGGATCCCTGGCCCCGGGTAGTCTCATTCACTCTCCGGGCCTGTGCTCTGGGTCTGTTCAGGATCCCGCAGGCCCTCGGTCATCTCACTCACTCGCTGGGCCTGCGCTCTGGGTCTGTTATAACGGACTTCTCATTTGACGAAAACAAAAGAAAACAAGAACTCCCCAGGTCATTTCTTCAGCGTGGACACCAGTTTGTTACCTGTGTTCTCAGGTAACACAAGATGGAAAACGGGAAGATTTGGGAACAGAGCTTTTGATCCCATCCTCACTACTTCATGTCAGGTGTGCAGAATTCAAATCAAGCACAGCCTCTGCCAGCAACCTGTGGTGACCCTGACCTCTTTTCTTAAAACCTCAGTGTCCCCATCCATAAAAAAGGAGGCTGGGTGTGGTGACGCATGCCTGTAATCCCAGCACTCAGGAGGCTGAGGCAGGGGACCACTGCAAGTTTGAGGCCACTCTAGGCTGCATAGTTCAGGGCTAGCCTGAACTGTATAGGAGAACCTATCTCAATCAATCAATCAATCAATCAATCAATTGATCAATCGATCAATTAAATAAAACAAAATTTAGAAAATGAAATGTGGACTAGAGTGATGATTCTCAAGCCCCACTGCTCACAGGGATCACATTGGAGTTTGTCAGCAATACAGGTACTTGTGCTCCCCCTCTAGAGATTTCAGGCCAACTGATCTGTGTGGTGTGGCCTGGGTAGCTAATTTTTATAGCTTTGTAGCTGATTCTAATAAGACTAAATGCACAAACAGGTTTGGGAGTGTTTCAAAATTCCTTGAAACTACAGTATTCAGAATTATATGTATAAAACATCAAGAATTGGAAAAAGTGCAGATTATGAAGGACCCCAACAGCTTCTAGTAAAATAAAAAGCCCTCAATGCTTGAGAGGGCAAAGAATGCCACCTGGTGGTCATATTTGCACATGCACTATCCTAATTACTGGCCAATTCAGTGGCAACACAATTTGTTACAGTACTTAATGAGCACCAAGTCAAAATGCAAGACACTGCAGTACGTCCTCCAGGACATACAGAGATAAAATGTCCTCTCCACACGATGCTCACAGTTTAGAGGAGACAATGGGCATGTACATAAAACCCCTTGATCCAAGGCAGGAGGTAACAGGATGGAATACAAGGTGGAAGCCTGGCACCCAGGGCCAGTTTTAGGGATGTAGATCTGTGTCTCAAAGGGCTTTGCAGTAGATTTCATCATCTCTTGTCTTTTCTTAAACTTATTTGAACATATATTTTCATTTTGCACTGGGCTGCACAAATTATATAGCAGGACCTAGCTGGTATAGTTAGGACAGTTTTGGAGGAGGTGACATCTGCGCTGCGGCTGGAGGCAGCACAGGGGTGGAGGGAGAGCAAGAGGCATATTTTAGTGTGGAAGGAGAAGTAGAGTCCTCGGGTCTTGGTGACAGGTCTTTGGGGGGGGGTGTTAGAAGACCGAAGATCCAGGACTTGAGGTCGAGTGGAGAGGGGAAGGGAGTTTCGGGTTAGCTAATCAGGCAGGCATAGGGGGGATCTCCAGAGACAGACCCAGCAGCCAGAACTCAGGAGACAGGTAAGGCTGGAGCTTCGGGGTCACAGACTTCCAGGTGGGCAGCTAGGTAGGATCAAGCGCTACAGGGACACCCAACAGGAGTCAGGAGGAAAACAGAACTGCACAGCCCTTGAGCCCACTGCCCCTGTGGTGCACTTGGAAACTTCTCTTAGCTTCCTTCCTGCCTCAACACCATCATGGGACAGTGACACAAACCCTCTCGAGCCAGGCACTCTTTTGGGGGGTTTCCCACTCAGTATTTTCCACCATTCCTGGGCCAGGGTTCACCATGGGCCACCTGGGCTTTCAGAAAACCTCCCCTGCCAACACCGCAGAGTGTAAAGAGCAAGTGCTGTTGGGAAATCTGACCTGATAGTGATTTGCTTTTTTGTTGTTGTTGTTGTTGTTGTTTTGTTTTGTTTTTTAGCTGTTTCTGAATTCTTATGGGACGTTCCACTTTTGGGGAGGGCATTTTACAGGAAGTGAGCTCTTTCTCAGAGGTCAAAGAAGGTCAGAGGATTGGTCCCTAAGCCCTCATTTCACACCAGCTGCCTCCACCAGGGACACCACCAGGGGCTGGTACAAGTAGCTGGAACCCATGATATCTGTGTCCTTGATTCCTTTAGACCAAGCAAAGAGCCTCTTTGATGTTTATTTATCCTCTCCTCTTCCCTGGAAGGCACAGAGTAGGCACAGTGTAGGCAGGCTGGTCAGGGATGGGTTGTGATTCAGTCTGCTGACTCCAAGCAGAGGAGCTCCTCTTTCAGACGCATGATTGCCCAGTTATCCCAAGAGTTCTGCGTGGGTGCTCCTAGGATCTTAGTTCTAAAGAGCTCCTATGTTTGTTTCTGGGCTGAGGGTGCATTTTTGCTTGAGATAGGAAACAGCTAGAAAGATAACTAGGTACCAGAGTTGGCAGGTCCCTTCTGGGACATGGACAGGGCCTCAGGGATGCCAGCTACCTCTGAGCCTTGCTCTTCCTCTAGAGAAGATTGAAAAGGCAGGCTCTTGGCTCTGTTGGACTGTAGCTTGCACAGCAGTTGATCCTAGTACAGCAGAAGGATCCCTGGCCCTCAGGACTACTGCCTCTGGCAAAACACGACCACTGTCCCAGGAACCTCCACAGCCATCAGCGAATGCTGTGCGGCAGAGAGGAGGCTCAGGCAAGGTGACTGTGCTAACTCCAGCCCTTGGGAGTACAGGTCTCCAGCTGGAGTGCAGGGGAATCCTGTGTGGGACTCGGTGGTGCTTCAGGATATGGTAGCCATGTTCCATCCAGGCCTCTTCTGCCTGGCCTTTCAAAACTATGTGTACCGCAGGTTTGGCTTCTTGGAGTGTATGCTATTGTGTAAAAGATGGGGAGAACTAGAAAGACAAAGGTGGAGGGACAGAACACATAGAGGGTACCAATTGCTGGATAGGTCAGTTGATTGATGGAGAGTCAGATGAAGTCGACAAGGAGCAACACACACACACACACACACACACACACACACACACACACACAGAGTGAACACAGGGTATCCCCCAGGTTGTGTCTTCTTTTTTTGGTGGTCGACTCAGCCTGCTCTGGGGGCATGACTGGCACAGCACAGGTTGCCTGGGATCGAACCTTGGTCCCTGAGCTTGCATAAGCAGGTGTTTTAGACTGCTGAGTTATCTCACTGGCCCTAGGTCGTGTATTCTTCAAGCCCAGTGTAAGAGGAGGCTTCTTTGCGAAGCCTCCTTCAGCTCTTTTGCAGGGAAGGGCAGGGCAGCAGGGAGCGGCCCAGCGAAGCCCCTCCCAGCCCTGTCCTGCTCTGCCTGCCCGGGGCAGCATGGGTAGCTAAGTCTGGATGAAGAGATGGAAGTTGGTGCGTGTAAACTCGTGGTGGATGCTCTCGAGGAGCGCGTCGGCTTCCTCAGCGGGCTTCGGGGCGCTGGGCGCACCCGGCCTGGCGCTGTATTCTGGGGTGTAGGTGAAGGAGAAGGCGCTGGGGTAGAAGAGCCCGTCAGCTCGCACCAGGCTCACCGGTACCGTGATGGGGGTGCGTAGCCAGCGCCAGTCGCTGCCAAAGGCCGCCACGTCAGGCACCACGCACACCAGGGACCGCGGGCTCCTGGGGCAGGGCATGGAGGGCAGAGCTGTGGCAATTGTCATGATTCGTCCCCCGCTCCCAGGAACCCCCGATCGCCTCCCGCACCCTATACCTGTACATGGTCTCTGCCTCCACGTCCCTGAACCACACCTTGAGCCCTGCGTGGAAATTCTCCCCATGCAGCTCCAATGTCGCCACGTCGCCTCCGCCGCTCAGCTGGGGGAGGGTGGGCCGAGGTGGTTGGGGAGGGGGATCCGGAGCCAGCCGGCTGCCCTCCTTGTCCCAGCACCCCACCCCACGCTCTTCAGCGGCTCCCTGACCGCCAGCACCCCCTAGCGCCCGGATCACCTCCAGAGCGCAGATGAGGGGCACCGGTGTGACCGGCTCCCGCGTGCACGCCACACTGGTGCTGAAGGAGAACTCGACGGACTCCGTGCCGATGATGGTCCAGCAGGAGCTATCATTGAGCAGATCCTTGTTTGCCTCCTTGGGACAGGGAGAGGCCTGGCAGGGGACCAGAGGGTGGAGCAGAGGCTTCTACAGTGGCCACCAGTGTCAGGCTTCCCCACCAGTGCCAGCTTCCTCACCAGGCCCAATGGATCTCGGTCCTGCTCTGCAGTCTCCCTAAGACAGAACTTAGACCATACTCTTAACCTTGTCTCACCAAGAGTTGAATAAGCTCATTGGGCCTGCTGCTTGCTTGTTCTTTCTCTTTCCTCCCTCCCCCCCACCCCCTTCCTTTTTCTTTCTTTTTTCCCCTCTGGTCCTGGCGACTGAATGCAAAGCCACCCACTGAAAAGCACCCTAATGTCTTTCAGCAAGGCCCCACTCAGTTACCAGAGCTGGACTTGAACTTGTTTCACCTTCCTGAGGTTTGGTGCCCCTCCTATGTTTTTCTTTTTTTGATACCAGGAACCAGACTTAGGACTATACTTGCCAGGCAGGTGCTGTGCCCCTGAGCTTTATTTCTGGCTCCCAAGGGATTTCTAATGACCTTATTTCCTTATGTTTCTAAAATTTTATTTTTTAAAATTGTGCAATTTGTTGCCCTACCACTGCACAACTTTAATGTTCTTGGAAAAGGAATATTGCTCAATAATTGTTGCTGTCTACATTTTATAATTTAGTCACCTAATGTTCTCAATAGTATTCTTTTGACAGTTAGATTGCTTAATAGTAATTTTTATTTTGCAATCCTATGCTCCAACAGTCTATCATTCTAGTAGTCTTTCATCAACAATATTTAATACAATTACCCATTCTAATTTTTACTTGCATTCTGCAATTTCATATCCCAACATCCTCCGATTCTAATCTTCTTTGGGGATGAATATGGTTTTTTGTGGGATGAATATGGCTTAATCATAACACTCATTATTTTCTACATTCTACATTTCTGTCCCAATAGTCCATAATTTTGGCCTTCCAGGGTTGGCAGTGTTGCTCAGTAAGCAGCGAACATGCTGGCAAAGGTCCTATGTTCTATGGCTCTCTATCGTCCCCCTTTCTGGAACACTTGGTGCTAGTGTATCCTACTTACCTGGAATTGCACCACTTTCTCTGTGGCAAGGCATAAGTAGGTGCCACCCCCTCCAGGAGGGCCACCTGGAAACTGGAAGGCACACTTGTGCAGCTGGGAGATAGGCTCGTCCACATCGAGGAGCGCACACTGCTTGGCTACTTTGCGGATGATCTGCAACAGAAGCATGTCAGGAAGCGTGGCGCCATGGTGCCTGGGTGCTCAGAAGCTGCCTCCCCAGCTAGTCTCAGCTACTGCAAAGCCACGTGGGCATGGAGGATTCCTAGAAAACACCAACTATCCCCAAACTGAGAGCAGCTGTCTTCAGGCTTTGGGGCCCCCATTCCAGCCCTGTGCACATAGGTCCCACACTTTGCACAATCTGGGGGGACCGTGCAGATGTGCTGTCCCTCCTCATACCATAGGGGGTAGTGTGATGCCAGTGACTGTGCAGACAAGCTGCACCAGGGAGCCATAGCGGACGTAGCTCTCTCGAGGTGGGAAGTCCCCTTGGGAACAGTGTTCATCAGCTAGGGTGAAGGAAAGAAGAGATGAAGGTTTCAGGAGCCCCGCTTTTTGCCAGAACCCTGCCTTCTTACCTTTGGCTCCACCTCCCATCATGAATAGGTCTTGTGGGAAAGGCTAGCCCTCACGGAAGCAGCTGGAGCTTCTAATGGGGTGGGGGAATGGGGCCAGGAGTGGGGGACAGGGGTGGTGGTGGGGTTGCTTGTGACCATGCTCACACATGTCTGCCTCTTGGAATCAGAATAGTGTGTCAGTCACTTTCTTACTGGGATTGCAGGAGATTGTTTTTGAGCTCAGCTGCAGGGGCAAGCAGATCTTTCTTGAGAAGCTGAGAAGAGGAATAAGCAAGCTAACGCATGTGGAGCACCCCGCGTGCCTGCTGGGGTCATTACCGAGGTGGAGAGTGAAGGCAGCCCACTGTCTTGCGCTGGCCACGAAGGCACCATCCTCCACTGAGAGATAGCGTGTGGACACCGTCTGGGAGCGCAGGCGGTTGAAGAGGGAGACCTTTGAGCCGGACGATATGCACACTGCGGGAGGAGGTCGAATCAGGGCCTTGGCATGGAACTTAGGGGCTCCCAGACAATCTCTGGTCCTCTGTGCTGTGCACCAGCCTGGCCTATGTGGACAAACTGGGTGATCATATCTCACTGCTACTTATCTAGTGCTACTGTTGTCCTGTTTCTGTGCCTCGCTTGCTACTTCATGCTGCCTGAGCTACTCTAGGGTGGGCATGGGTCTGGACACTGAAGAGCAACGCGTGCATTAGGCCCACCTTTGCTTTGGAACAGACTGCAGTTTCAGTTACATAAATAAAAAAATGCCGATACGGGGCTGAGGCTATAGCTCAGTGGCACAGGTGCCTGCATGGCAAATGCAAGGTCCTGAGTTCAATTCCTGGTACCAAAACATGTTTTAAATGTCAATATAACGTGGTGAGGGCTGAGGTAAGGAGGCAAGGAGGCTTCTTCTTGGAAGAAGTTACAGTCCTCGAGGGGGATTGTGAAGTAGGTAGGAGTTGTTCAGAGGATGCTTCTGCAAAGACCACATGTTGTGAAACAGCAGAGCACTATTTTAGGAACTTCTCATTAATCTCTTCTGGCCTCAAGCAGCATACACTCACAGCCACTGCTTTGATTTCTCATTGTACTTTGGCCACATAGAGAACAAGGCAAAGAGCAGGTCAGTGTCCTCTTTTCTCCCACAGTGTGGGGCATACTGTAGGTGTTCAAGTAAACTTACCCAAAGGCCCCCCCCCCCGAATAATAGCTAGCAGTTATGGTGTACCAGCCTTTATCTTTTATAAATGCTTTATGTGTATTTGCTCCTTTCATTCTCTGAACAACTCTGGAAAGTAGAACATATGATCTCCACTTAAGAGAGCAACTTGAGCTGGGCATGGTGGTGCACACTTGTATTCCCAGTGTTCTGGGAGGCTGAGGCAGGAGGATCACAAGCTCAAGCCCAGACTGGGTAACTTAGGGACACTGCAATACCTTGTTTTAAAATAAAAAATAAAAATAAAAATGGATGGAGATATAGTTCAGTGCAAAGTCCCCGAGTTCGATTTCCAGTACTAGGAAAAAACACAACAGAGCAACCTTCTAAATATCACACAGCCACCAAGTTGTAAAGCAGGATTCAAATGCAGGCCACTGGGCTCCAAGGCATGCACTGACCCATCACACTAGTCCGCTATTCCTGCCTACCCCTTTCCTGATACCCAGGGCCAGCCCTAGCACTCTTTGGATCTGGGACAGTCCATAGGCCAGGTGTGGTGGTGCATGCACTTCTGTAATTCCTACACTCAAGAGGCTGAGGCAGGAGGGTCGCTGTGAGCTTGAGGGCAACCTGAACTATACAGCAAGACCCTGTCTCAAAAAATAAATAAGTGGGCCATCCAGATAGCTCTGCAGACTAAAGTGCCTGCTTAGGCAGAGCACAGCGGCCAGGGTTCTATTCCTGGTGTGCCATGCCGCCCTGCCCCACCCCAGGGGCACACTGAGCCGGCAATCGAGACTGGGCATGGTGGTGTGCACCTGGAATCCCAGTGCTTGGGAGGCTGAAAACAGAAGGATCACTACGAATCCGATCTACATAGGGAGACCCTGTAGACCCTGTCTTAAATACAAAATAAATGAATAAATAAATAAGTGGTACAGAGTTGGTGCCAGGGCTCTGGAGTCACAGTGACTCAGGGTCATTTCCTGGCTTGCTCGCATCTTAGGTGGGCAGTCTTGGGCAAGTCACTTGGGATGTGATAGGTCCCACTATTTTCTTATGTGCATGAATGTGTAAAACCTTATTTCCTCCACCTATCCCACCACTGTCCATAGGGACAATGACAGTACCTGCCTTGCAGGAACTGACTGTTTAGCCTCCTCTGGAACAAACATCTGCCATTATTTATTTATTGGGCATTTTTTTTTTTGAGACACTGTCTTGCTGTCTTGTCCAAGCTGACTTCAAACTCATGTCATCATCCTGCCTCAACCTCCTGAGTGCTGGGATACAGGTACATGCCATTCTACCTGGCATTATTATTATTATTATTATTATTATTATTATTATTATTATTATTATTATTATTATTATTACTATTGGTGCTGGGGCATCCAGGCCCTTATGCATGCTAAGGCAAGTGCTGCACCACTGAGCTACATCCCAGGTCCTGCTCTTATTTCATAGAGATCCAGCCCCTAGCACACAGCCAGGCATATAGACTCCATATATATTTTAAACTGGGTTGCCTCTGCCTGTTCATGATCCTGGATCTGGGGGTTGAAAGCAGAGCCCCGCACCTGCTAAGCACTCCCTTTACCACTAAGTCCTACTCCCACTCCATGTCCCCTTGGTCCTGTTTAGTTTCACCCCCACCCCATTATCCAGTCATCTGATCTCTGGGTCCCCTTTCGGGGCTTTTGCTTAGACTCAGCCTCAAACCCCGCCCACACCCCTGTCCTGACTCAGGCCTTCAGGGCCCCGTCGAGCCCAGCTTACGGTCGGTGTTTTTCAGCGACTGTTTTTTCTGTGAAGGCTTCGAGATGACCTTGATGAGGCGGCTGTGGAAGGTGCCCAGCTCTCGGCCCCCTCGCAGCACGAGGCGGAGCACCAGTCGGAAGTGCTTCCTCTTGTCGGCGTCTGAGATGTACAGGGTCTTGGCGCAACTGAATTCCTAGCAGGCTCACGGGGATGAGGCCGGCTCATCCCAGGCCTCAACCTGCAGAGGACCCGACCTCCCCACCACCGGCCTCCCGGTCTCCCCGCTGTCCCCTGACTTCTAGAGGGGACTGAAGGAGCCCTCTGCTCCGGCTCCAAGGAAGAGGCAGGGACCGGAGCCGGAAACGGACCCTCTCCCACGTTCTCACCCTGGAGTCTGGCTGCTCCTCGAAGTTCAACTTCTGCGTCTCGGCAGCGCTGCCAGAAGCCCCGTCCAGCCCCATGTAACCGCAGACTGTGGCCCCGGTCTCCCCAGCCTGGGGGACTGAAAAGGGCCACGGGATGCTAGAGGCTCAGAGGCTGAGCGAGCAGAGAATGCGCCGCCAGAGGGCGCAGAGAGCCCGGGCCCGCCAGCCGCCCTGCCTGCTGCCGGGTCCTTCAGCTCAGATCCACAGCCTGCAGCCTGCAGCGCAGCCCTGAGCGATCCCTCACCTTGGCCCCGCACGGGCTTCACCCTCCATCCGGGACCCGAGAGGTAGACACAGGGCGGGGGGCAGAAGAACCTGCGGAGACAGCCGAGGGCTGGGTTCGAATATCCATTGCTCCTTGCCTATCTTTGAAAGCTTCTCAAGGTCAAAGACCAGACAACTTTTGATTCTTCCCTCTTTCTCCTCTAAAATCTTTGTGACTGTGAACCCCATTAATATCCCAACTTTTTCCTTTGGTCTTTTTGAAACAAAGACCAAAGAAAGGGTTTCACTATGCAACTCAGGCTGGCCTTGAACTCACTTTGTAGCTCAGGCTGGTCTTGAACTAGCAATAATCCTTCTGCCTTGGCCTCCCAAGTGCTGGGATTACAGGCATGCATGCACCACCACACCCGGCAAACAACCAAACTTTCTTTCTTTTTTTTTTTTTTTTTTTAACACGTCTTTCAGTTATCCATCAGTAAGTCTGTGTACTGCACCTTCAAAACATATCTGGAATTCATTAGCTTTGTAACCACCTCTACTGAGCACAAGCTCAAGTGTGTGTGTGTGTTACTGTAGATTGACCCTAGAGGCACTCTACTGCTGAGCTATAGCTTCAGCCCTTTTTATTTATTTTGAGATAGGGTCTCAAAAAATTGCCCACAGTGACCTTGAATTTGCCATCCCTCTGCCTCTGTCTCCCAGGGAGCTGGGATTGCAGACCTGTGCCACTGCCTGGCCTAGCCATTCATTTTTGCCTGCAGGACTGCATTCACTTTTTATTGGATCTCCCTGTCACTACTCCACCCACTTCTAACATGTTCTTCACACAGCAGCCAGAGTACTTAAAAAAAAAACAAAAACCAAAAAACATGAGTCAAATTGTGTTTTGTCTCTTCTTGAAATCCTCCAGTGGCTAAAAATCCCAAGTCTTGCCATGTTTACCTCTCCAGCCTATATCTTGTTCCTCCTACTTTAACTCCAGCTACATTGACTTCTTTTGCAACTAAACAGGCCTAGTTGGTACAGGTCAAAGTCTTTGCATTTTTTTTTTTTTTTTTTTTTGTTCTTTCTAGTTGGACACACTTGCCCTAGATTTTTTTCATGTCTGGCCTCATCTGCCATTGAAGTCTTAGTTCAAAGCATTTGCTTTACTGCTGAGCTACATTCTCTGCTCTCAAGTCTCAGTTCAGATGTCACTTCTTAAAAGGCTCTTTGCCCTGTGTGACCTATCCAGCTAAAATACCCCACCTCTCTGGTTTATATCATGTTACCCTGTTCCCTTTCCTTCCAGCTCCCATGCTAGTCTGGAAATATCTCTTCTGCAGATATGTGAGGAGTTTATTGTCTGTCTCATCCACAGTAGAGTAAAAAGCCATCAGAGCAGCGACTATATCAGTCTCTAGTCCCAGCAGTGCCCAGCAGTGACCACAGGGCCTGGCCCATGATAAGCATCCAGTAAATAGTTGAGTGAATGAATAATGGGTGAGGTAGTGAATGGTGACAAGAGAACCAGAGGGAACTTCTACAAAAGACCAAAGTGTGGGCTGGTGTTGGCTGAGGGACAGGCCCCCTGCTGCTGAGCCCATAGCTGAGGTTTGAATTCTGAGGCCTCTGAAGAGGAGGGCTGATGGCTACATGGGGCTGACGCCAGGGGAGACCTGGGAAGCTGTGCCGAGGCACCTACCTCTTCTCATTTCCGTAGGATTTCTGGGCCACCTTGGCATGCAGGATCCAAACTGTCTGCTCATACCGTTGCTGCAGGCAGCTTCGCACTCCTTCTCTCAGTGCCATGGTACACTCTGGGGATGAGCTAGGCCCCGGGCAGGGCAGCAATAGGGTGGGTCAAGGGTTGAGGTCTCAGAGAGCCGTGCACTCAGGTTGAGTGAAATGAGCAGAGGGAGGGGTGGCTTTACATTCTGCCTCCCCCAGGCTGGAGGAGGGAGAGGCATTAGGCAAAGGAGGGGACTAAATATCTGGGCTTTGAGGTGTTCAGTGAAGCCTGCACAGAGCCCTCCAGGACCACCCAGGTGCCACTCCCAGGGTCTGGTACTAGAGGAACACAGCAGTGACACAAAGGCCACTTGTGTTGGTCCTGGGATGCAGAGACAGAGTAGGGGGAATTGGTAGTTAAACTTCCCGGTTGTAGGGGAATGCCAAAGGGAAATAGCCTTTGCTGGATGCAGGCCAAGGGGGCTCTCATGAAAGGAACCTGAAACCAGGTCCACATCCCAAGGATGGGGAACATCTGAGTTTTTCCAGGGCCAAAGCAACACTCCTCCCTTTCTCCCAGGACAAGGGACCTGTTGCTAGGTGGGATGTTTTTTTTCTTCATGGTACCAGGGATCAAACTCAGGACCTTGCACTTGCCAGGCAAGCACTTATTCCACTGAGCTATCTCCCCAGAATTCAGTTTTTTCCTTTTTACATAGGGTCTTGCTATGTACTTCTTGCTAGCCTTGAATTCACTACGCAGCTCAGGCTGGCCTCTGGCCTCAGCTTCCCGAGGGCTGGGATTATAGGTGTGTGCTACCCTGCCTGGCAAAGGATGGGCTTTCTTGGATTACAGGGCATCCGGCCCAATACATTGATCTTAAATAGGGAGACAGGTCAGAGTCTCTAGATCTGCAGACTTCTCAGTCTGGGCGTTTTGGTGGGTAGAGGTGGGTGAGCTCCAAGCCTGCACAGTTTCAGAGACCATGTAAAGGAAGATTTGTGGCAGAGATTTGCAGAATTAGCAGGTTGGGGCCTGAGAAAAGCTACGAATCCCCCCCCCCCTTTTAAACCCTTACACTCTTGGCAGGACAGAGTCCCAGCCTCCCTTTCCTGTTGGAGGGGACACTGCAGGGTGAGAGTCAGGCGCGCCCTCGAAACCCCGGCCAGGACCTGCAGGCGGCCAGAGTGAGACCGCCCCGCCTCTTGGGGTTCTCCTCGGGTTAGTGTCGCCGCCCTTCTCCCGCTGTAGCCTGATTCCCGGCCGGCAGCTCGCGGTCTGCAGCTGCAAGGGTAGCTGGAGCAGGGGGCGCCGCGTTCGCTCCGCCCAGCCCTCGGAGGAGAGGGAATTGCTCCCCCTCCCCACCGTCAGCCCTGGGTTAAATGCGGCCGCTGCCTCTGCTAGCTCCAGCTGCCCGGCAGTCCCCACCTAGCGCACACTGCCCCAGCCTTTACCTGGTCCAACTGCCCTGGGGGCTCTTCCCCTCAGCTCCGCTCTGCAGCCGCGCCTCCAAGCTGTTCTGTAGGCTCAGGTGAGTCAAAGGGCCCGGGGACGCTGAGGAATCTGCAAGGGGGAGCAGGCGACAAAGCCCCGCCCGAGGTCTATGTACCGCAGAAGCAGCGCCTATGGTGGCCTCCACTGACTGGCGGTGCTCTTTCCCTCTTCTGTGCGATCCTTTCCAAATCGAACCCCCACCAGTAAGGCCGACAACAACGGGGGCTCCTTCCCTAACCTCCTTCCACACCCTGCCATGGCATGTTCCCAAGGTGTTCGTTCTTGGGCTGACTCAAGCCTTCCCGGCCCACCTTTCAGGCCACTTGGCCTACCCAGGGGGCACCTGTGAACTTTCTCTTTAACCCAAGCATTAACTTCGGTAGAGTCCTGGGCTCTTGAGGTGGCCCTCTGAGTGGCCTAGAGTGAAGGCCATTACTCTCTCTGGACCTGGCTCCTTCTGTAAACTGAAAGGGGTGTGAAGGTGGTGAAGTTCATTTATGAACTTCTAGGATGCCTGGGAGGAGTATGAAGCCAAGAGCAGGATCAGGGGACCTTAATCAAGATTAGGGGACCCAGTGCCTTTATGAGTTAAAGGCCCCGTAAGCTACTCTGAGGTGCTGGCCCAGGCTGAGGCCCAAGGTAGAGCAGGCATTTGGTGCTGGTCCATCTCCACCAGCAGCTGGCACATCTGGCTTAGTCACCCTCCCACGACAGGCCTTGCCAGAGGGATTTTTGTTCCTCTCCCAGGGTGGAAGGCAAACGGGGAGAAGAATCCTGGACAGGAAGCCTGCCTGGGGCAAGCGGCAGGCGGGGGCCTTGCTCAGAATAGGCTCATTCACGGATTGGGGGTGGGGCGGGGCTGCTGTGGGTTAGGGGCGGCTGGCTCACTCCCTGCCAAGAAATGGTAACAGAAAAATGGCTAACGCAGTCTCAGCCCAGAGCCCAGGGGGTAGAGTAGGCAGTGGAAGGAAAAGAGGCTTAGTGACTCCTATTAGGGACCAGAGTGCCAGGTGGCTCAGATGGGAGATGGGGACCCAGATTCTCAGATTCTAGTGGGCCACCCTTGTGGGGCCTTAATGTTCCCATCTGTACAATGGGGGACCTTCTGTTATACACAAGGGACGTTGCCAGGTGGTGCAGGAGGGTGAATGCTCACCTGCTGCCCCCCCAGAGTCCATGGCCGCTCTGTGGGGCCTTGGACGCTCTCTTGCTGCGCTCTGGATGTGTCCTATGCCACCGTCCCAGGAACCCTGCTCACCTCTGCACCCCAAACTGCGCAAGGATATATTCTGCTCAGGCCTTATCTTCAAGGCCCAGAGGCTCCGGCCCCCTGTTTGTTCTGGGCAGAGACACCTGCAGAACAGGTGTGGACTTCCCAGACTACATCGCGGTACCAGCCACATCAGGCGGGCGCCCCCTGCCGGCCTCTCCTGAGAGCCAGCAGAGAACCCAGGCACCGAGTTCTTGCACGTGGTGGATTTTAGCAGTTCTTGCACGTGGTGGATTTTAGCACCACTCACTGCCCCACACGTCTGCACTCGACAGACGAAGGAGTGCAGCCCTTTTTCACCGCCTATGGTTGGGCAGTGCGTGCCTGAACATGGAGGTTGGGTTCTATCCATGGCACAGACAGCCACACAGAAGCTCCTGCGTACAGAGTGGAGGGCGGAGGTGGAGACTGGCTTCGGTAGGCAGACTCACCTCGTGGGCACAGAAGGCACAGAGCACGCTGGCTGGGTCCCAGAACCAGAGAGACATACGTTCCTATCCTGGCAAGTCCCTTCCTTGCTGCATCACTCTGAGTTTCATGCTTTACTTCTCTAAGCCTCAGTTTACTCATCTGTACAATGGACACTCTAGCCTTAGTGTCAGAATTGACGAGGATTAAATACCATTGTGCACGCAAAACATTTAGCACTGTGCTTGGTATTAGAAAAGGTGCTTTGCTCCCCCCCCCCCCGAACCAGGGATTGAACTCAGGTCTCAAATATCTCAGCAGCTTTATTTATTTATTTATTGATTGATTGATTGTAGAACCGGGGATTGAACTCAGGTCCTTGCGCTTGCTGGGAAAGCACTTATTCTACTGAGCTATCTCCCCAGCCTTAAAACAAGGTTTAAGCTTGTTTTTTGAGAAAGATTTTTATTTTCTTTTTTAATCTTTTTTTTAAGGTGCTTTTCTTTTCAAATGCTGCCATCTTATTTATCTTTTTAAAATATTATTTTGCAGTTCAACGAAGTCCTCCTGGGTTTCTACAGAGAATCTCTTTTGTTTCCCAGCAGTCTTGGTGTAATGACGTTTTTGCGAAACGTCCTAGTGTGGAACATTTTAAATACTCAAAAATAAATCAGTTAAATAAACCCCTGACCTTCTCCCCCCCCATCCTCCAGGGTATGAGCTCTGTTTTTTTCTCATCCCCCCCCCTTTCAGGTTCTGACGTCTCCATTCGCTGTCCCTCAAACACCATGAGAGGCCTTCTCTGCAGGCCGCTGGCTATGTTACTGCTCTTTCTCCAGCCCTGGGAAACCCAGCTCCAGTCTGCAGGTGAGCTGCGGCCCAGCCCTCTCCAGCCGGAGGAGGGGAGGGGAAGGAGCCAGGCCAGGCCAGCAGGTAAGAGAAAAACAAGGGTTTTGAGACATATGAAGCTGGGCCGGAGCTTCCCCTTCTCTTCTGTGTTTCAGTTTCCTCACCTGTAGGATGTGGCTTAGTTTAGGGTTCATCCAGAACTATATATGCAGTGTTTAATTTTGAATTTTAAAATTGAAGACATGGAAACAGTCAAATTTCACGTCAAAACCCCAATTTGGAACTTCCCTTGAAAAATTCAAGGACTGCTAACACGCAGCCCGTGTGGCCATATGGCACCATTTTACTGGTGCTGCTGGAAGTAGGAGGATACAGGCTCTTTTAGTGTTCACAGCCCTAACCCAACCACTGCATTCATTTATTTTGCCTGCCTGGCCCCTGTCCAATCACTATCTGTACTTGGGACGTTTCTTCCTCGGCCCATGGCAATACTTAGTGCATAACACTCCAATACCTTTCAGAGCTGTACATGGAGAATTTGTGAAAAGGTTCTCAGCAGTACTATGAGTGCGGGTAACTGACTCGCGTTGGTTAGGTCAGCGCTGTAGGGGGCGCTGTTGTGCCGGGATAGCCGCATTTCTCGCGTTTCTAGGGCAGGAGGTGGGTTTTCCTGGGGTGGGGGGGCTTGTCAGACCTAAGAATATCCTCCGTGGTGCTCCCCACAGGACCCAGGTGCCATACTGGGCCCCTGGATTTGGTTTTCGTGATTGACAGCTCCCGCAGCGTGCGCCCCTTCGAGTTCGAGACCATGCGGCAGTTCCTAGTGGGCCTGGTCCGCAGCCTGGACGTGGGGCGCAACGCCACGCGCGTCGGCGTGATCCAGTACTCGAGTCAGGTGCAGAGCGTCTTCCCGCTCCGAGCCTTCTCACACCGCGAGGACATGGAGCGCGCCATCCGCGAGCTGGTCCCGCTAGCGCAGGGCACCATGACAGGCCTGGCGATCCAGTACGCCATGAACGTGGCCTTCAGCGAGGCCGAGGGGGCGCGTCCGCCGGAGGAGCGAGTGCCGCGCGTCGCGGTCATCGTTACCGACGGGCGGCCGCAGGACCGCGTGGCCGAGGTGGCAGCGCAAGCGCGCGCCCGCGGCATTGAAATTTACGCGGTCGGGGTGCAGCGAGCGGACGTGGGCTCCCTGCGGGCCATGGCGTCACCCCCACTGGACGAGCACGTCTTCCTTGTTGAATCCTTTGACCGTATCCAGGAGTTTGGCCAGCAGTTCCAGGGGCGCCTGTGTGGTGAGTGAAAGGAGCGGTGGGACGCGGCTTCAACTCCCCAGCGGTGTGGATTCCTCTCCCGGTGCTGTCCAGCCTTACTCTGCCCACCGGGTGCAGTTGAAGGGTTTAGTAAGCTCTGGACACCTTTTCTTAGGCTTGTCCACAGGAATAACACTTTTCTTGTCTTCCCTATCTCCGCGGGCAAAAGGCTGTGACTTATCACAGGCTTAGTGTCAAACTCAAATAACACAAGACTTCAAAACTTCACCTTTGGGGCACCCTGAGACAGCAATTGAGAATGGGTGTGGTGGTGCACGCCTGTAATCCCAGCTCTTGGGAGGTTGTAAACAGGCGGATCACTAGAAGCCCGATCTAATAGTGAGACTCTGAACACCCTGTAAACCCTTCCCTAAAAAATTAAAAAACAAAAACCAACCAACCAACGAACCAACGAACCAACGAACCAACCAACCAACCAACCAACCAACCAACCAAACAAACAAACAAACAAAAAAACCACCCTAGACCAAACTTCCTGAACACTCGGAGCAGTCTCCAGGGAAGTCATGCGCTGCCCTCACTGTAACTCTTCCCCGCAAAGGCCGTGTTATCTGTTCTGGTCACATTTTGTGTTGTTTGGCCCACAGATTGCACTTCTCCACTTCCAGCACTGCCCCTGGCTTCAGATGGTCTTGCCCCATCCATGGGCACACTTGGTCCCCTATCCCCTCTTCTGTGTCTACCTGTTTTGCCCCAAGCCCCTCCACAGGGACTGATGCCCCTCCTAGTCCTATCCCACCTAGGGCCTTACTTGAGGATGGTGCCTGTCTCTGACCCAACCCTGCTCAGGTATTTCGTGTTGGAGGCTTCTGCCCTTTTGTCCCCTGCTCATTCTAATGCTGTGTGTCCCCAGGGAAGGACCTGTGTGCTGAATGGGGACATGGATGCCAGCACCAGTGTGTCAATGCTCCAGGAACATTCTACTGTGTCTGCAACTCTGGCTACAGACTAGCAGCAGATAAGAAGAGGTGTTTGGGTGAGAGTTATTCCTGCCCTGCAGTCTCTCTGCTCCTGAACCTACTTTGGCTCCCTACTGCTCTTTTCTTTTTTTAAAATACCAACACAATTTTTTTTTATTTTAAAGAGAAAAAAATTAAAAAGCTATAAAATTGTTTCAAAACAGGCAAGTAGGAGAGTAATAATAATTAATACATTGTGTATTGTTATATTCACAGTAGTTTTCCAGACCAGGACCTAGGATTTTCTAAATTTTTTAATTTTTTGTGTGGAACTGGGGATTGAACTCAGGCCCTTGTGCTTGCTAGGCAAGTGCATATTGTACTGAGCCAGCCATCTTCCTGGCTCCTCCCCACTACTCTAACAACGAGTTTGGCAAAGAGTTTGGCAGTAAAAAGCCCTCTTTATTTAGTTTATAGGTCTAAGCCAGAGGGGTTCTTTGTGAGGCATCTCCTGCCCCATTTGAGTGTATTTTCTATAACCTTTTTTGACTCCATTAAGGCCAGACCCCTCCTGGTTGTAATTCATCTCCCAGCCTTGTTTCTGTCTCCCAGGAAGTCTTCCAGTTATTACTGCGCTAGGGATCTTCAGTTAGGCTGGTCACCCCTGACATACTGCTGATTCTTGCCCATCTGGGCTGCCCCTGCTGATTCCCTCTGCCCCTGCAAATACTTCAAGACCTGGTTTTTCACTTCTGTCTTCATGTTTGTCATCGAGCTGTGGTGTGTGATGCCTTGCTTTTGCACTTTTGTGTGTGTGCGTGCCTGTTCACTTCTGTGATTGTAATGGCTACCGTTTACTGAGTGCCAGGTTAGTTGTCAGGTATTGTGCTGGGAGATTCCATGCACCATATCTCAGCTTCACAACAACCTGGAAAAAGGTATTGTGCGATCCCAATAACCAGATGACACTTGGGGTCAACTTGTTTTTAGAAACACATGATTGATTTGAATTCTTATTTGATTATCATGAATATTCAAATTGCACTGAAAGATTTCCAGGAATTCCCTAAAAGCTTCCCTTCTTCTGCATTTATTCAAGTTTTGGATCTTTGCTCAATATTTCAACATATACATGCTGTTATTATTCCAGGATATATTTTTATTTGTTGCTTGGTTTTGGAAATAGGGCCTCACTGTGCAGTTCAGGTTGGGCTTGAACTCATTATGTACTTCAAGCTGGTCTTGACCCTACAGTGATCCTCCTGCCCTTGAGTGCTGGGACTATTGGTGTGTGTCACCATGTCCAGCTATTCCAAGTGTATTCTTTGGTTCACACTTATGTGCATGCAAGCATGTGCATGTGCGCATATGTCCATTCTGCTAAAGCAGTGGACAGAACTGTGAGTTAAAGTAAAAAA